TTGTATTCTGCCTCTGACTCTGTTTACCAGGCTTCAGAATTTTCAGAGTCCAAGCTTAAGTCAGAAGCAACATCGCTTGATGTCATTTTCCAAGAACAGGTTATTTAAAAGCTAAATAAAGCTGTTTTTTCTACCAAAAAAAACGCAACAATATTGACTGAGATTGGATCAGAGCGCCGCTGCTGATGGCCTGGAATGACGTCACTAGCCACAGTTCTGGTTCACTCGGTCGTTCGAAAAATAAACCCGACTTTGAAAAATCATAAAAAATCATAAAAAATCGCGGTTTTAACCAAACACAAAAATTTTTGCGGCGTTTTGCTCAGTGCAATAGGGATTTAATATGGCCAAAAAAATTTTGGGGGGTTATAGGCACTTTAAGAGGAAATACCATGTATACCTTGTTGCTTGAATTTAGTTATTGAGGATTGTTGTTTGCTGCTGTTAATAAAACATCACTATTCTTCATTTGAAAAGAAAAAGAAACTTCCCTCTGATAACTTCTGCAGTTCGTCGCTTGTGGAAAAAAGCCAAATCCTCTCAACTTCAATCTGACTGAAAAAAAAAAAAAGAAGTGCAGAAACTAAGTTAAATCTGCAATAAACAAGAGCTATTTGAGAGCCGTAGGTTAGAAAACTGTAATAGGTTATAGTTGTTCCCTTTTAAATAAAGTTATTGTATTGTATTGTATTGTATTGCACCATGTTCAGTTTCTCCAAAACAGTAGTAATCCTAAAATCAAAGACGAAATCACGATCTATTCCACCTGAAGTATCTCTAAAGAAATAAAAGGCTTCAAACGACTTTGATAAAGCTCGGCTATCCAATAACTTCTTTTCATCGGTTTTTACAGATATTCCTGGTATTCCTGAGAAGTTATGTGACGATCTTCAACCCTTTACTGATGAGGTTATTTCAAATCTACTTTGCTCTAAATCTGAGGTCGAGAAATTGCTCATTGGTTTAAACGTTACAAAAGCTCATGGTCCGGATGGGATATCAGCGCGTATGCTTCGTGAAGCTGCACCAGCTATATCAGACCCCATGTCAAATTTATTAAACTACTCACTCCAATCTGGCAACTTGCATGTGGAATGGAAATCTGCTCGTGTCATTCTGGTCTTTTAAAAGGGCCAAAAAGATCTGGACAAGAATTATCGTCCTATCTCTCTCACAAGTCTGCTTGTAAAGACTATGGAAAGACTTACATAAAATACGATTTATTGAATCAAATAATCTACTGATATTTTGCTTGCTATTGACAATCGCCACTATGACATGCTCCTGCTACTAGATCTCTCTGCTGCATTTGACACTGTTGACCATGGAATACTGCTCAAAAGGTTTAACTCTAAATTCTCAATATGTGGCACTGTACTTCATTGGTTCCGCTCTTACCTTACGAACCGCACACAAGTTGTCTCAATCAATGGGAGGAAGTCACAGTCTCAAAAGCTCAAATGTGGAGTACCTTAATGCTCCGTCCTTGGGCCCATCCTCTACCTACTCTACACTGCTCCACTTGCTGACATTTTACGTTACCATGACCTGCAATTTCATTTCTATGCTGACGACACTCAGTTGTACATTTCTTTTTCTTTTTCTGGCAACGACGATCTGGAATTAACCAGTAGTATTGCTAAAATAGAGAATTGCTTATCTGATCTTAATAAGTGGATGGCCTTGAATAAGCTGAAACTAAACAAAGACAAAACTGAACTTCTCTACCTTTACTCAAAATATAACCCTCAACAGTCTCTACCTCCACTTCGTTTTGGTTCTGATATAATTCAGCCGTCCTCATGTTCCAGAAATATCAGTGTCATTTTTGATAGTACTATGTCAAGGCTCCCTCATATCCGATCTGTTTGTAAGTCTGCCTTCTATCATCTTCGGAACATTTCCCGTATAAGGAAATTACTATCCACTAAGACCACTGAGACTTTAGTCCACGCCTTTGTAACATCCAAGTTGGATCACTGCAACTCTCTTCTATATGGTGTCCCGAAATATGTTCTTAAAAAGCTCCAATCAGTGCAGAACGCCGCGGCTTGACTTATTACAAGCTCCCATAAATTTGACCGCATAACCCCTATTTTATTCGACCTGCACTGGCTTCCAGTTTCCGAGCGAATTACATTCAAAGTAATTCTGCTCACCCACAAAGCTCTCCACCAGCAGTCTCCTATCTATATTCAAGACCTGATACGTCGTTATTCACCTTCAAGAACACTCCGGTCATCTTCAACATTACGCCTGTCTCCTGTCAACTTTAATCTCAAGTCTTACGGCTATAGATCTTTTGCTGTTTCAGCTCCTGAACTGTGGAACAAGCTACCGCCTCCCGGTTAGCTCAATGGATAGAGCACTGGAGTGTTGTGCGGGAGGTTGAGGGTTCGAGCCGCCAGTCGGACAAACACTCGGGGTCTTAAAATAATTGAGAAGAATTTGCTACCTTTCTATAACATCAAGAAATGGTTAGATATTCTAGTCTTTTCGGATAGGGACGAATAAATGGAGGTCCCGTCTCCTGCAGGGTTGGGGTAGGAGACGTTAATTTCCCACACTCGAGATTACTGGGTGATGGATGTCCTCCCCTGGGGTGGGATGGGTGGGATATTGGGCGCACTTAATTTGGAGCCTCGCTCTGTTGTGCGACCCTCACCACACTCTGGCAAAAGTGATTAAATAAACTACCTGATGACATTCGTTCTTGTGACAATTTAAATCTCTTTAAACGTACACTTGACTTATCTTTTTAAAAATTATTTTCATATGTATGAATTCTCTTCTTATCCATGTCTAGCGCCTAGATCTTAGACACCTGTTTTTTTGTGAATATGTAAAATCTCTGTTAACGTAAACTCAAGACTTGCTTTTCAACATTAATTCAATATGTATATTTCTATTTTGAAAAGCGCTTAGATCAGGTCTGGATAAGCACTATATAAGTAGTTCTAATATTATTATTATTATTATTATTATTATTATTATTATTATTATTACTTGGTAGTCATCAGTATGGTTTTCGTCCTGGCTACTCCTGTACCTCTCAATTGATACACCTTTTCCATGAATGGTTTAAAGTACTAGATAAATACCTCTCTGCCAAGGTGATTTTCCTGGACTTTGAAAAAGCCTTCGATTCAGTTTCTCACGACCGTCTTCTACTCAAGCTAGAACGCTTTGGCATCACCGGCACTCTACTTTCCTGGCTTATCTTCAATGTGTTGTAATCGAGGGATGTTAATCTGACTGGACACCAGTCATATCTGGTGTTCCACAGAGGAGCATCCTTGCCCCCCCTGTTATCTATCCTGTATGTCAATGAACTCCCTGAATTTTTATCTAGTCTTACAGACATGTTTGCTGATGACATATTAATCTATAATTGTTGCCCTCCATCTCAAACGTTCGTCACTGCCCAGGAGAGTCTGTATCAAGTTACTGATTGGTGTGGCTCGTGGCTTTTAAGAATAAATGCTGACAAATACGAGTCCATGAAGTTTATCAGAGCCAGACCTCCCGCTCTGTGCAACTATACTATCAATGGTAGGCTACTCGCCCAAGTATCTTCGCATAAACATCTTGTGGTGGTTCTTTCTGATTATTTATCTTGGAAACCCCACGTACTGTCTGTTGTTGCAAGATCGAACAGATTATTGGGCTTACTCAAGAGGACATTAGGGCCTTACCCTAAGGCTCCATTCACCTGTTTTCAATTTATGATACATCCAATACTCGAGTCCACCTGTCAAGTATGGAATCCTCACCAGCAGATTTGACTGAAAACTTGAACGCGTGCAAAGGAAAGGTACAAGATGGATCATTGGTAAAGACACTCCATATCAAGACCGACTGAAGTCCCTAAAGCTACCGACGCTAGCTCAACGCAGAGTTTCCTGGTTTGGTTCATTAGAGGACAATCTTCTGAAACACTAATGATTACATATAATTCAGTAACAGGCACTCAAGAAAACGTCATCAGATTAAACTCTATAAACCATTTTGCCGCACAGATATCTTTAAGTATTCTTTTTGGCATAGATACATTGACACATGGAACAGTTTACCGTCACCAGTATTTGAGCTTGACTCAGCGAACCTTCTTTAAAAAGCTCTTAAATTAATATCATTTAACTAGGCCTACAGTACATGAATCGAATTAAAATTATATATCACCTACTTATTCATAGATTTAATAGAATTCTTATCTCAGATATAATCTTTTTTATTTGAATATTATATTTATAGATATAACTTGTATGTAAAAATGTGTCAGTGTGTATATGTATATTCCCTAGTATTATATACTTATATCTGGGGTATAGTTTATAATGAGGATTAAGTTCCTCCCTTCTATGATTTTATAACAAATTTAGGGCTGACTGCCGCACAAACTGCATTCGGTAAGCAATAACAAAGACGGTCTTCTAATTTAGCTTATTTATCAATATTTATAGTTGTCTTTGATGTGGAAATTTATCCTTGATTCATAAATCACAGATAGGTATTGAAAATTTTAAATTAATTTCTTCAATAGCTGTTAGTACGTCTGAGCCAGCGATTCAGCGGTCGTTACACGGGAACGAGGCTATTGGGTCAAGACCTTAGATTTTCTAGAGTTTCTTTGTGTCATCATTTATATTTCACAAAAACAGTGCTGAGTTCTCCGAATCTTTTGAAGAAAGGAGATGGTAAGGCATTGTATAGCAGTTGGCTGTGTGAACAGGAGTAACAAGGTTGAATGTAAAGGCCTTTCTTGGCATTCGCTGCCCCTAAATGACTCGAAAAGACTAAAAAAATGGCTGATCAACATACGAAGAACCAACACTCCAAAAACGAAAAGTTCATTTTTGTGTAGCGATCATTTTGCCCCAGAATGTTTTCAAAAGTCTCCTGGAGGCGTAAGGGGAAGGCTGAAGGTAGATGCTGTGCCTACTCTTTTCAGCTTTACAAAAGTTCAGACACAAAGAAAAGCCCCACAACACCGTTCGAATATGGCCACTCAACGTCAAGAAACTGCAGGCTTAAATAGTGACGAAAGTATTGCTAACGCCGTTCCATTAACAGAATCAAATGAAGTGGGACAGTCCATAAAAGAAGCAGACAATAGTCAGGATCAGTCTCTACAATTAATTATCAACGAATTGGAAGGGAAAGTAAAACAATTGGAACACGAACTTAAACAGGAGAGAGAGACAAGAAAGACACTAGAAGAGAAGCTTAATCGAAGTTTGTTTAATATCGACAACATCAAAGAAAACGATAATTTAATGAGATTCTACACTGGCTTCAACAGTTATGCTGTTTTTACTACAGTTCTTAATTTCCTTGGAAGAGAAGCAGCAAAACAGTTAAATTACACTAACACTGAACTAGTGCAGAATCCACCCAAGAGAGAGAAGCAAGGTCCAAGAAGAGCTCTCTCTGTGGAAAATGAATTATTTCTCTTGCTGTGTCGTTACAAAGTTGGTCTTTTAGAGGAGGATGTAGCAGTCAGATTTGGTATTTGCCAAAGTCTTGTGAGCCGAATCATCATTACATGGACAAAGTTCATATATTTTAGATTCTCAGAGCTAGACATTTTCCCAACAAGGGAGGTAATTGAAGCACATAAACCTGAATGCTTCAGGAATAAATACAATGGTACAACAGTGATAATTGATGCAACTGAATTGTACATTGAAACACCAACTAATCCTGAAGCACAGCAGCTCACTTTCTCTACCTATAAAAACGGCAATACTCTGAAGGCCCTAGTTGGAATTACACCAAGTGGTAGTGTTTGTTTTGTGTCTAATCTTTATGGTGGGTCTATCTCTGACAAAGAGATAACTGTGAAATCTAAACTCATGGATAAACTTCAATATGGAGATGAAGTGATGGCTGACAGAGGATTCAATATCCAAGAATTACTAGCAAGTAAAGGGGTTAAAGTAAATGTTCCACCTTATATGAATGAGGCAGGACAATTTACTGAACAAGAAATGCTCAACACAAGAAGAATTGCATCATTGCGAATCCATGTAGAGAGAGCTATCGAGCGCATCAAAAACTATCACATTTTAGATTTTATTCCCATTACTGTCTGCAAGAATGGGCTGGTTGACATGATTTTCTTTAATTGTGCTATGTTCACAAACTTTTTGCCACCTCTGGTGAAATGAATTTTTTTCAGAATCTTTCTTGAGCCATTCATTTGTTTGCTTGTAATTGTCTGGTGTTATAGACAGAATCAATATTTTTTAGGTGGGTGTTTCAATAAGGACAGCACACAATTTATTTACAACTGACAGAGTAATGAGTAAAATATTCATATCACTAGTTGATCTGAAATAATCTATTACTGTTAACAATCAAGATAGATTTAATCTTCTGCAGATGTCATATTTATCTGGCTAATAGAAAAAATGCTCATTGTATCTAAATTTATTCAAATGTTCTACATGTTAGTATTGAAAATCAGTTAATGTCATGCAAAATTAAAGTTGCAAGTTTTGCTGGTTCAAAGAGTATAGTGGAGTCAGTTTCCAACCAGTAAAAGTAATTATTACAATAGAAATTCACTTCTCTGTCAATGAGACAATAATATCCATATTTAAAACGATATATTTCAAAAAACACAACATCAGTAATCATAATTTTGAGATCATGCAAAAGTTAAATAATTTATAGATAGTGATTCCACTGTCATGTCGAGTTCTAACAAAGACTGAAGTACACTGTTACATTAATCTTGATACTTTTCCAAGCCTGGGAAGACCTAAAGTTAACCGTGGATAAGCAAGTTCTACAGCAATATAGTTATCATAAAAACTTTCAAGCTTTGGGATAACTTCTCTTCTAAATTGTAAATTATTTTTGATGCTTATTATGATCATTTCCTTTAGATCTGATATCACCAGATCAGCCCACTGTAAACCAACACAAAATAGTTGTTGTTGAACTTGAAAATGGTATGGGTGATTTGTGTTAATAAGCAGGCCATGAACAGTCCTCTTGCAAATTCCCCTGCTGCAAACTGCTTCTGCCAGTTTTTTTGTTCCAGGAAAAACTCTCTTGACTTCCACCAAACATTTGTTATCAACTTCACCATCAGGACTTGCACCCAAAAATGGATGTGTAGATGAAATGACAAACCCTAGTTTAGAGACGTTGCACTTGAAGAGGTTTTCATATGACTTGATAATATTAGCTTCATCAGTAAGACCTTGTTTCATGTAATTACTCTGAAAATTGTCATTGAGATGTAGAATTTCTTTTACAGCCTTAGTGGGGCTTGTGTCTGGTCTCTGAAGTACTCTCTTGCATTTCGATGCAGTAATTCTTGTTTTCCTGTGTTCAAACCACTTTTGACAATCACTTTGATTTTTTGTTGCTCTGCTTATCAATTCTCTTTCTTTTTCTCCTACAAAAAGATTTGACTTAATTCTTTTAGCTTTTGCATGTATTTCTTCCAATGACATTGGTTGTTCCTTTATGGGTGAGACAATTAAACTACTTGGACATAGTGGCTCTTTTGATAAAATAGAGTAAAATCCACAATTTAGACTTTCTCTCGAGATTTCTTGAAGCAAGGTCTGATTTGCCTTCTCTGTACTTGGTTCTCTATAGATGCAAAGTCTTGGATCGTGCAGTGCTTTATTGTGTTTTAAATTCTCTGTGCCAAAAACTTTTCTACTGAAATCAATGTCGTATACTGAGAGTGCCTCCAGCTTTCGCTTTCGTGGTTGATTCCAAGTCTGCAATCTTTCTGTACAGGTAAGAAATTCTTGACTACGACCAAGTCTAATGTACTCTTCAAGAGCAAAGCATAGAGCTGCCAAATGTTTACATGATGCAAGTGGTGGCTTACCAGCTGGACAAGGATTACAGTTTCCATATATTATATCACCAGAACTGTCTACTGTCATTTGGATCTTATATTTTAGAGTTTTTTTCATCTCAGGTAAGCATTCGCATTGGATAAAATACTTGCCATCCTCATTCGCAACCTTAATATTCTGGACGTGACCATGTCTGAAAAGACCAAAAGCTTTGCAGTTTAAGCTTTTATAGTCTTTATTACTTTCATCGTCTCTTGCACGCCTAGTAATAAAGTAGCTCATCATATTTGCAATAGAAAACTCTGGCAGTTTGTTGCATTTTTTCAATTCGGTCCACGTTGTTGAAGGCAGGAAATTTTGTATATCTTTCCCTGTTGGCTCCTCGTTAGCATTTGCCGAATTTTCCTTTAAGTTCTCGTTCGATTCTCCTGACAGATGCATCCATTTTTCAGTAAAATTCGCGTCCCAGCCATTCTTAATATAGCTTACGACCCTGAAAAACAAAGATGNTAGAATATTTTATAATTTTAGCGCTTTAGAAATGTAAATTATTATATTATTATAACAAATAACTCTTTTACTTTTCCGCGAGATTTTAATATTGGAAGTGTGATTTACGCAAGTCTAGGAATCTCAAGAATGAAAAAATTAAATTTGATTACTATGGAATTCACAGCAGTTTACATGGCTTACCTTTCTTCGCTGCCTGTCTGTCGATTCACTTGTTTCCCTTTGGTTTTGTATTTACCCGCTGCCAACCTTAGACTCCATTTCTGAAGGCAAACCGCTTGAAACGCAGGATGTTCAGTTATACAGGTCAAAGTATCATCAGGGAAAAGGTCTTGAAGGACAAGATCACTCTTCATTGACTCTATGCAACCTTCCAGCTCACTGCAGCAATAACATTCGCTAATGTTTTGAAGGGAAGCAATACCGCAGTTGCTACACTTGCACCTACAACGAACAAACACGAAATTCATTGAAGGAAAAGCCGATGCCAGCAGTTAAAATAAAGGAGGCTTAAAGGTAGGCACAAGATCATGCTAACGAAAAAGTAAGTGCAAATAAGCTTCTGAATGTAAGCAAAGTGAACACGTGTTGCTATCGTATGCACCATTCCCTTACTTCAACCTTCCCATTGAAGCGGTCCTTAAGTTTTCGTTCCAGTTCTTCATCGGCCTCTCTCTCCTTGTCATACTTTGCTCTCCATTCCTCGTCTGCGAGCGGATCGTCCGCATGCGGCGCAACATCCTCGCTTGAAGTTGGCAAAGATCTGCCTGTGAGTAACTCACGCGCTGGCTCCTCTCTTTTGATTTCAATGTCGTATTCAGCGATAAAATCAATTTCTGAGACCTCCGAGTCATCACTCATTTCTGAATCAGAGGATGTGGTCGACATTGTTAATTAAAGACAATCGGTATGAAGCGCCTGCCGAAACAAGTTTCGCTCTGCGAAGCCTTCGGATACTAAGAATTTCAGCAGTGTCTCTCATGGATCGTTCTCGATTTGACGTCACACTCCCGCTCGCCCCAGACTTCTTTCACGCGGTCATGGGGCCACTGAAGCTCGACTTAAACAGGGCATAGAAAATCGACGATTTAACCAAATCAAAAAATTTTTGCTGCATAATACTCCATAAAATACGCTTAAATTTTTTAGAAGAAAAAAATTTTTGGGTGTAGGTGCACTTTAACAATTAGTTCCTTTTAGGTTTCATTAAATTATCCGGCCCTAGCAGCATAACTAGATTAGTTTATTAGCAGCATTAACATTGTATTCCTAGAACATTACATTTAATGAATAGATCATTAGCATCACTACATTTGTTAACACTAAATAGATAAATATTAGTATTCTTTGATTATTAACTAGCCTATTAGCTGCACTTTACATTTATGGAATATTAATAGTAATCTCATTAGCATATTATATTAATGACCATTAGAGACTCTGAACTTTTCCGAACTGCTTAGTTAGTTGGAGCCAAGCCCACGTGCGTTAGCACTTTTATTTCGTAATCTAGGTGGTTTGTTCTGAATAAACGCTTTTTAAAACTTCACAAAACTGTCTGGTATACGTATGTATTTTTCTCTTTAATAGGTTTTTAAATTATATACATCAAATTATTATTACTTTCGTTTATGTTAATTTTATGTATTGATTAGATTACTTTATAGAAGGCCACAGGGTCATCAATTGTACTTAAACTGTTACATGCTACCCTCTTAAAATAAAGTCATTATTGTATCTTATCCTATCTTATCTTATGGTCAGAATGTAAGAAACCTGCGCTCACAGATCAGTAACTAAGTCAGGTGTGGAAGTCAAAACCAAGTCCAGAATATATTTACCACGAGTAGCCGAAGTAATTACTTGAGTGAGGAATAGGTTGTTTATGATTACAGATTACACGTGCAGTGAAGCGTTTATTTGTGTTATAATTTTTTTTAGGGGAAGATGAGGAGCTGATCAAGATTTATTAAGATTGCTTGAGATGTTTATGTCTTGATTTGGAACTTCTTGCTAAAATGAGTGCAAATTTTATTTTCCATAAAATGGCTAACATGTAGCAAAAACACCGCCCTTTAATTTGTAATTCGATGATTTTGTAATATGATGATTGACTCATTCATTTTAACGTTTTCTTCGTAACACAATCGTGTCTCTTCAATCTCACCACACTGTGCTTTGAATATGCCAGCCTTGGAATCGCAAACAGACGTACAGTACAGTAAGCGAGCCTTCATGAGGACTTTTATTTATTTACATTGACCTTTGTCGAAAGCACTGTCTGGGAAAAAGATGGAAGCCTTGAAGGTAAGTGGGAGGTTGGATGACATCTCATTTACAAATAATCATACAGATGCAGCCATGGGGAGATTGGTGCTTGCCAGCTTACCTTCTTTGCTTGGAATTGTTCTGAAAAGGTGAGCCTCAATGTAGGTTTTACTTACCAACTTCAAAAGTTCTTTTCTTGTCAATGTGCTATGAATACAACGATCAATTTCTTCAAGCTTAGCCGATCATGAGCAAGCAGCTACTAAGTTATAAATTCATTACAATGGTCAATTATTAACTAGTAGTTTCAATGTGAAAGTGGGTGCTAGCATCAGAGGGATAGTTTCAAAACACTAACATGTCAGTTCATTTGCTATAGAACAAAAGAATGTTCCAGGTTAACCTAAATTTTGATAAAGTTGCTGCGAATTTGGCATACCATCGTCGTCTCTAGCATGAAGGTCAAAAGTATAAAATGAACCATTTGATTCACTTAAAGTAGTCAGAGTGACATTTCTAAAAGTAACAATTACTTGCTTGTGAAAGTATTCATCAATGCTGAA